ACCCGTGACATGGACCCCGGGAGAACAAGCACTAAGGTTCCTGGGTCTCATGATCAACAAGGAAGGGGTTTGGCCAGGAATGGGTCATAACCTAATCGCTAGGGCAATCACCCGCCTGGCCCAATGCAAAAAAGCTCAGGCTTCTTTAATCGGACGGGCGCTACTGATCAACACAGCAATCTTCTCCACACTGTGGTACATGGCTTCCATCTGGTCCCCCCCCGACGACGACCTCAAGAAGCTGAAAAACAGGGTGAGATGCTACCTATGGACAGGTGATCCCAACAGAACCACTTGCATCAACAGGGTCGCATGGAACCATATCACAAGGAAACCACAAGAAGGGGGCCTCTGGATTATCGACCCCAAACAGGAGTCCATAGCTCTGCAAATGCAGTGGATAATCAAGATTCTCACCAGACAGTTCCTCCTGTGGACCCAGATGGCGCTAGACAGCATCAGAAGCCTAGCCCCCATCAACTCCCCCCGAACATGAACGGGCTGTTCTGGCTCATGGCAAAGGACTGGACAATCAAATCAGGTAGGACGCGTAGGAGAAACTCCGCACAGCTCATCACAAACCATACTCAAACAGTCAACTCATATTAGCGCCCTACCATAAAAGCCTGGCGTAGGATGATGCCAAGCAAACACGGGGCACCAGGAACTGCGCAATGTTTTGAAAGACTGTCACTCCCTATCCGACAACTTAACGCTGATCCAAAATAGCATCCCCACACAATGGCTCCCCCTCCTAAAAGAGGAATTCTCGTGGAAATCCGAGAGAAGGTTAACTACAGTCGTATTTTTCATCACCACTTCAGGACAGCCTTCACCACTTCAGGATGCAGCCTGCCTAAACAGGTGGTTTTCAGGGTCTTCGGACCTTACACCACTTCAGGACCAGTCAGGTCTGAAAATCCTGAACGGTCCCGAAGTGGTGAAAGCTCCGAAGACCCTGAAAACCACCTGTTTAGGCAGGCTGCATCCTCAAGTGGTGAAGGGTGGTTTTCATGGTCTTCGGACCTTTCACCACTTCAGGACCATTCAGGATCTCTCACTTGACCACTTCAGGACACCCTTCACCACTTCAGGATGCAGCCTGCCTAAACAGGTGGTTTTCAGGGTCTTCGGCCCTTTCACCACTTCAGGACCATTCAGGATTTTCAGACTGCAAAAAACTCTCACTTCAGAATTTTCATTCCTGAATTTTCAGCTACCCGATAACCGCTTGTGGGAAATCCGGGGACTGGGGAATACTAGTATCCCAAACCCAGCCTAACAGAGCATACAGATTCGTTAACAGAACCAGCCCTTCCGGATACCTCTCCAAGTTTTACTCCTACCCCGTCGCAAAGCACAGCACATACGAGTTGGAAATCCAGAATAAAGATCCCCAATGCGGTATACTCGAAACCTTCCAGCTGAGGAAAGTGAGGGTGCCAAAGGCTAATCCCTGGAAGATCTTCCAACCGAACCTCAGCATCTCAGAGCTAGAATTCGACCCGAAAGAATGGGGTTGGAAACAGGGAAAATCAGGGAGAACGAGAACGATTGCAGAGTATGCTGTCAAATTCGGCTATGAGCTGGGCCTGCAAACCACAAACCCGGATCCCAGCTTCAGAGATAAGTGGAGGGAGATCCTCAACCTGGACCGCTCAGTCCCTGTATCAATCCCGTGGACGAAGTTCCTGTCCATTAGACAGGCCAGGATCCGGAGCATGCAATGGCTCATAGCGCACGCATCACTGCCTACTAACCATTGGCTTCACAAGAGGAGAAGACACACAGACCCCAATAGCACTGAGCTATGCAGGCTATGCACAGACAACGCCTCGGAAGACATACCCCACTGCCTCCTATACTGCACGGAAGCAGCATGGATATGGAACAAAGTACGCGACCTATGGGCCATCCTCTTCTCATCACCCCCCTCACCCACAACCCCCCTGTACATCCTGCTCTTATCTAACAACACTAACAATCTCAAAGGCGGCAAGGAAGTCTGGTTCCATCTACTCAGAAAGCTGGCTCTATGGGTAATCTGGAAGAGGAGGTGCACCAAGACGATCGAAGGAACTGAGGTGCCAAGAGAAGAAATGTGGGCACTACTACTGAAAATGGATGAAACAGAGATTCGAGTCAGATGGAGAGAAGTTACATCAACGACGAAAGGCAAACCAGAAAGGATAACCACAAAGAGACGAGTGTTCATAAGAGACTGGCTGCTACAGGGAAAGATCGCCACTCCGGTGGATAACAGATTATTGTGGAAGAAGTGGCACAGCACAAGGCCAGGGACAGTGTGAAAAACAAACTGAGATTATAATCTCAACAAGTTTAGACATCCCTCCTCTTTTCTCGTCTTATATGCGACATCTGACAGAGACACAGCAAACTCTGAGAGGAAAAGTGGTAGGGCAAGCTGACAGTCAATCCTCCTGTTAAGGAGCAATCAATGCTGGTCAGGAATCCTTCGGCCAGACGGAAGGAAGCGTGAGGGTGTTCACCGTGTATTCTATATTTTGACTTGCCGGTGGAAAGGAACCGGACTGACGCTCCGCAGAATGGATATGGAGCCAGGACCATAAGGACCTGTTTAAAAAAAAAAAAAAAAAAAAAAAAAA